TGACGAGTATTTTAATTCTATCAAAAACATAAAATCTGAAGGACAATATATTGTTGGAAGATGTTATGAAATGGGTATAGGCACTTCAAAAGATGAAATAAAAGCATTCGAATATTCTTTAGAGTCTGCTGAAAGCGGAAACACTAATGCACAATTATCTGTTGCAAGTTTTTATCTAAACGGAATAAGGATTTCTAAAAATTTTGGAAAGGCATTTAATTATTTTTTAAAATCTGCTGAAGGTGGAAATTCTATGGGCAATTGTTTGTTGGACTTTTGTATCAACATGGCGTAGGCACTGCTAAAGATGAAAATAAAGCATAAGAATGGTTTTTAAAATCTGCTGAAAGAAAAATTTTATTGGACAATTCAATGTTGGACTGTGTTATAGGAATTGCATTGGAACACCTCAAAGTCAGGAAAAAGCAATTGAATGGCTACAAGAGACAAGAGCCAATGAACCTAATCAAAAAAGGTCTTATGAGAGTGAAAACTTTTATATTGACAATTTTCTGAAAACATCCTCATCCGAAAATAGTTATTCACTAGAATGGATTCCATATAATGAATTTAAATTCATAGAAAAAATCGGTAAAGGAGGGTTTGCAACTATATATTCTGCATTGTGGAAAATGTGCGCAAAAAAAGTCGCACTTAAATTGCTTCATGGATCGCAAAACAATTGCGAGGAATTTTTAAAAGAGGTAGAAGCTTATGTGGTTTTATATATAATGAATATATTCAATTTTTGCTTTACTAATATAAAATATATTATAGCTAAAGGTGTATTACGAAATTGGATGTAAAAATCCTACATTATACAATGCTATGGAATATTTAAAGATATTGTCACTAGTGATTATATTTTAGTCATGCAGTATGCAAGCAAAGGTTCTTTGAGTAAAAATTTTTACATCTTATCAATGAGTTGGGAAAAGAAATTGAACTTGTTATTTTATATTGCTCAAGATCTTCAACTAAAAACAATAGCAGAGGTCAAAAAAAACAAGAAGCAAAAATCTTATAGTAATGAAAAAGGTCTAGAATATTTGCAGTATATCTGAATAATTACCAAAACAGTTATCAAAATAACTACTAAGATAATTTCTAAAGTGCAAATAAGTTTTTTGTCCTAGTTACAAAACAAAAAAATATATCAAATTAGAACCAATATTATAACTGTAGCGGTTATGGCTACTTTATAAAAATCTACACCTTAGACCCAAATAGAACTCTAAATCAACCACTTAACAATCAAATTAGATATTAGTCAAGGGGTTATTCAGTTTATAGAAATAGACACAATAAGAATCAAGAAGATGCAAAATTTGAGTAACTATATTCAGGTACAACAAAAGATATTAGTAGTAGATCAAGTACATATAAAAAAAAATAGCTTATTGGGTCAAAAAATATAAACTTCAGGTTTAGTAGTAAAATAGTTAAGGGAAGATATCTTATTATTTTAAAAGGATTATTAGAGTTAATAACACAACTAGATTCACCCCAATATTCATTTATAGAAAATCAATATTCTTGATTAAATATAGAAATAAATTAACTATTAGATATAGAAGTTATAGTTTTAGTATCAAAAAAAGATAAAATCAAGTTAATTATTAGAAGCAAGACTAATATTTTTAGCACAAAAACTAGAGCAAAAGAAATAACACTTGATTATTAACATAAGGTAGTTAAACAAGATATTATCAATAAAACTATTTAAGTTTAAAAGTCTTACAACTTTTTTAAGAATAGTATATCAAAATTAGTAAATAATTGTTTTAGATCTAAAAAGTAACTATTATTATATATTAATAAATTAAAAATACAAAAGTTATTAGAATTTAAAATAGTAATAAGTTGGTATTATTATCAAGTATTATCTTTGGATTAAGTTAAGCAGTTAAAATTTTTTGCAAGTTAATAAAAGCCTTGATAGAGTATTAATAATTAAAAACAATATTCTGTAGCAACTATAAAGATAATATTTGAAATATATATTTTTATAAATAATTGTCACAGATTAAAATAAAATCAGATTAAATAAAATTAGAAATCTCTCTTGCTTATTCTTAAAGCCTATAAAATCTACATATACTTATTTATTAATAATTCTAACTTTAAATCTGACTCCTAATGCTAAAAAGCCCCAAAAATATCACCTAAAAATTTTTAAAATTAAAAAAATTTTATTTTAATCTGATTTCATTTTAATCTGTCACAATAATTATTAAAAATAAAGATTTATTAATACTAGTAGACTTAAAATACTATGAACTTGTCTTAATAGAAAAAATATACTTAGAAAAAAGCAAAATATTATAAAATGATATCAGATATTAAAAAAAATATTAATACTAAAATCAAAATAAACAATATAAGTTTTTGTTTAAAGAAAATAATAGCCAAAAAACAAATTATAGTCAACATCTTTCTATAGTTACAAAAAACTAATAAGTTTAAATTAAGCTTTTAAATATATAAAAATTTGCTATTTAAAACTCTATTTAATTATAAATATGAGTACTAAAAGCCTTGAAAATAAACCAATTTAGTATAACTAATATATAATCAATATATATATAAAGGTAGTAATAAAAAATTTAAAAAAATAAAAGTCTAGCTTAAGTATCTTTATATGTAATATTAGTATTTATAAACATATTAACTACAAATAAGTTTGCTATTATAAAAAAAAAGCATATTTTTAAAATTGGATACTATTATAAATATACAAATATTGCTATTTTTAAATCAATAGTAATATTATTTGGCCTTAAGTTATTTACTTTTACTATAATTTATTATTTATTACTATCTTTATAAACAATTATATAGCAAGAAAAATAATAAAATTAGGTAGAAAAGATTATAGTAGAAAGAATTAATATATAAAATATGAAAGACAATTTTTTTAAATATAAATATATGTATAATTAAAAACTTATATTTATAATACCATATTATATAACACCTAGTCACGTAAATACAATATACTATAAAATTAACCAAATTATATAATAATCTAATATAACATAATACAGGCTTAGTATATTGATTTATATAATGCATAAATTATGACTTTATTAGCTTAAAAATCACTTCTTTGGCCTTGCTTTTAAAATTAAAAAAAATGTTTCTTTTTCTCAACCTGTTTTACTATATTCAAATAACTGCTCTTAACTCTAGTAAGATGCTATGTATATACAGTACTGCAGTATGTACTGTACACTAAAATATTATCTATCACTACTTAACCCTAATCCAAATTTCAAAATAATCAAACTTAACCCTAATCTCAACACAATTAAACCTTAACACACTCGAATCTTAACATAATCGAACTTTATATAATTGAATTCTACATAATATAATCAAATCTTAAATAACTTTATAAAACATAAAATATACATGAATATTTAACAGTTCTGTTTATTTAATATTATACAATACCAAATAAGCATATATATATAATATCAAGGCAAAACAAATATGCATACAGAACATAAGTTATGCACAAGAACAAACAAATATATACAATATTGGTTCTTTATAGTAAGACATACATATGTATATACAATATTAAAGCTGCATATATAATAATAAAATATTAACTATATACTTTATAAGCAACAAAATAATTTGGTTTGATAATTTCATATACAAATCACAGCTATGCAAGAATAAATAACATCATAAAATGATTATCTGAAGATGCAGACATATAGTTAAATCTTAATTAATATATTTGCACCTCTTCTAATATCTTAATAAAAAAAAGCTTATCTCATCTAAAAGATATATAAAAATTAAGCATTATTCACAATCATATACAAGTAAAATTGAAATCATATTAATTTAAAAATATCTACATACTATTGTGTATATTTTTTTAGATTATTTTTGTGGACACATGCTTTTATAATGATTAGACTCATAACAAATTTCACAAATCCTTGGTTTCGAGCTTTATTTTGTTTTCTCTTAATGCTTCTCTTGTATACCTTTAATATGCTTTTTCATAGAGCATCTTTACTAATATGATATGTAGGATCTGCTATGTCTTTGATAGAAACTATTTGTTTATGATTAATTTGTATAAAAAGAGTACCTCTTCTTAAGAATTTGAAGTTCTCTTCTCTGTGTTTCTTTCTCATACTCAAGTTTTTTCTTTTCAATATAGTTTTTCAAGAAAACTTCTAATTTATGATTATTTTCATTATCATCTTGTAAATTAATTGCCTGTTTTTTTTTTTTTTTTTTTTTCGGTATTAAGGTGAGGTCTTGCCCTGTATCTTTATTAGATATTATCAAGTATTTGTCTTATATGGCTATATCCTATCTTAAGAATACAAGCTTAGACAATCTTATCTATGACCTAAATCTACTAGAGTATACTATGTTTCTACCACATATTGGGTTATACCTGGATTTGGTATTTAGACTATTTCTAGTTATCCCCATATTCACCTATGTCTTACTGTCAAACCTTGATTACTTCCAAATTGGTCTATTCAAAGAATCGGTCTTTTACGGCCTTCTAATTTGGTGTGCCTGTTATTAGATACTTTATACTGGTATATACTTTTCTATAAATGATCTCTTGTATACGTATCTCAAGTCAGGTTCCTGCTGCTGCCATCAGTTCCACATAAAAAGTAATGGTATCACATGTTGAATCTAAGTGTCACCTAGAGGTAGTGCAATATGTACTAGGGATGGTTCCAGCCTTCCCACTTATTTTTTCAGGTATACTGACCTCGTATCTCAAGCCAGACCCCTGCTGATACCACCGGTTTGCTTTTTTCAGGTCTTGACGTTTTCTAAGTTATCTGGTGTAGTTGTACATTTTTTACCCCCTTGTGTACTTTATTATATGGTATTCACCAGGATCTTGATTCGTGAGGACCCTCAAGTTGTATAGCAACTACAAGGCTATACACTTCTAGCCATTGGCTTTCATAATTTGCTTTAATGACCTATCTTGTTAAAGACTAGCCCAGTGCCACAAAATTACTTAAGTAGCAAGCTAAATCACTTCCAGCTATTTCTAGTTGATATGGCATTCGTGCTGGTATATCCTAGTCTTTTTCATCATAGAATTCCATACAGATATGACCAGAGCTCTGATTTGGTACAATTAGATATACAGGAATAGGTTACATTCTCTATGCCGAATAGCCTTCTATAGTTATTCCACTAATGCCAGAGATGCTTCTAATTCCAGTTAAGGCATAATCTGTTACTACAGCCCATAGTTGTGTATCACTCACTACTTCAGTTTTAGTAGTATTAAATCACTCTTCTAAGCAAATATCTAACACTATTCTATATTAGAACTTATATGCATGATCTGTTGATCATTCTTCCAAGCAAGTACCCCACAAATAAGGTGCAAGGATGTTGGTACTGCCAGGTACAAAAGTGATAGGATGTTGGTATTGCCTCTTAGTCACTCCAACCAAGAACTTACATATACAATCTTCTACAGCCTAGACCTTCTGTGATGCTGCTATCACATGTAGTGCCAACACTCCACAATCTGGTCTTCTTTCGGAAACTCCTTATTCTGGTCTTGTACTGCACTTGGACTTTTCACAGGGCTTCATATCTGATTATGGCCCCTGTAGGTTACAGAAACAAATTTTATTAAAATTTGCCTCCAGCCTAACTTGAACTGTTGACCTAGTTTGTGGGGGTTTGGGAGCTTAACCAATAAGCTATGGGATTCAAACCCAATTGCCTGTTTTGTGAGACTTATAGTTCTAGTAAATTGAAGCTTTTTTTCTATATGATTTTGAGCCTTATTTTCTTGAATATTATTGAATCAAAGCA